GAAAAATTACTAATGATTTCACACCCTGCAAAATAACCATTTTGATAAAGATACACTATATACTCAACAGTGTGATGAAATTCTCCTTACTACTATGTATAGCGCTGAATAAAATCCCTTCCTAATATAAATTGCAGCCCTGCCATTGTGGGAATACAAATGGAGATGATTCAGAAGTTAACATTTCCAAAAGAAAAGAAAACTTTTTTCAAATAGCTTTTCTTGTTTTTGTATAATATCATAGCTACATGGCTATCTAGGGAAGCGTGTGTTGAATTCACAACTCACATATTTGAATTGTGCTGAATTGTGCTGAATAGACTATCACACCCTTGTTTTTTTCTGGAGGACTACAAAATTGTACAGGTAACCCTCTACTTACAACAGTTCACATACTGACCATTTGAAGTTACAAATGGCACTGCAAAAAGTGACTTATGACCATTTTTCACACTTATGTCCATGGTAGCATCCCCATGGTCACAGGATTTACATCTGGATGCTTGGCAACTGACTTAAATTTATCACGTTTACAATGTCTCCTTTTGTGATCTTCTGACAAGCAAAATCAAGGAGGAAGCCAGATTCATTTAACAACCATGGTACTAATTTTAAAAAGTGTGGTGATTTACTTAACAACTGTGGCCAGAAAGGTTGTAAAACAGGAGAACAATTCACTTAGCACATGTTTTGCTTAGCAATATAAATGTTGCTTTTAAGTCAAGGTCTACCTGTATTGCATAGCTAAGATATATTTCACTAGACACAATAAATAAAATGTATACACCAATGATAATGAACTTACTGATTTCTGATGCTATTACACTAAGGTTGTGCCACACTGATATTTCTCGGTCAAGCATTTTAGAAGTATAGATTGATCCATTTCCTGAATGTATGTTGAAAATTCTATCAAGATCAGTGTGACGATCCAAAGCAAACCTAACGATTGGTAGAAAGAAAAAGAGCTTTATGTTGAGATGTACCTATATACCACATTTCATCTTGTGACTGCAAGTTATTCTAATTGAGAGTAGTAACATAGTTGTCAGCAGCTTTTATAAAGCATTAAACCAGCAAGTGCTAGATAATGTGAGATGCAAATCTTGTACCATTTATATGAGTGGCAACAATGCATCCATGTTCAATATGCTTAAATCACGGCACCATGTTGACCATCTTGATGATTTCAACAACACCTGTCCCCATATGTTGCCTTCCTGTCAAATACTGAGATCTTAAGAAAGCAACAGTTCATGAAGTTGTTTAACTCAAGATGCAATAATTAGAACAGCGACAATATTACAGTTTCTGTCAATAATCAAAGATAACTGGCATTTCTAGACTTAAACATATTTAGAACTGACAGTTAGGTCAATCAGACTGAATATGAAGATGTTTGTATTCAATCTAACATCCATAAAGTTTAAGCTGCAATGGTTGGAACTAGATGTGACAGCAAGGACACGTTTGCACCACACCAAAAATCTTCCTGATGTTATCATAATTAGTGGCATTCAACAGATGGTCACAATACTATGGATTTTGCATTGCTCCATTTCATAGACAGTACGGTTAAGGCATCTGTAATGCTGGCAGATGGAGCAAAACTTAAAACTTGATTTTGTATGACCTGGAGTACTATAGACCATGCGCCTTTTCTACTGAGAACTTTCTCTTTTATACATTTCTTTACTACACTTCCAGTAACACATAGAGAATATTCATATCAGCAATAGCATGCAGGCGGCCTTTTCAATGCCTCTTAACTGTGAAACATAAGGTAACAGTGAACTATATCAGCATAAAAGGTAATTTCTACCTGGTTTGCTAATGTTGAAAAGATACATGGTGCTAACCTAAATATATATAATTATTGTTCCATAGAGCTTATATTTAATCTCTCCTTTTTATAAGAACGGTTTTGTTGCATCAAGTGCTGTTCTATTCCACTAAAAAGACAGTTTTGACAGGAAGCATAATAATCACTTATTGTAATTTAATTGCCAAGTAGCAACTTTTGCTCCCCTCTGATAAATACAGTAATTTACCTTTATTAGTCATATTACCTCTGTTGGTTAAAAAAATATAATAATTAGAAAGATCTAATGAAACCCTATGGTTCCTACTCTGAAACACACCTATTATAATTGCAAATTGCCTATAATGCATAGGAGCTTTGCCTTTCAGTATGATCACTATTTCTAGTTCATTCTTCACCTACAGAGTATTTTGTAAAAGTTTAAATCTTACAATAGTTCTAAGAATCTGCTCTGAGATTATACAGAAAAATGCACTGGAACTGACACTAGTATTTTCAGATATTTCCTGACAAAATAAATGTTTAAATCTCTGGCAGTTGTGAAGTATGCAGAAGTATCTAAACATATTGTTCTTAAACTATGTTGCTTATTTGTATTTAATCTCCCTATTTTTGCAAAAGTTTTATTCAATTTTCACATATTAGGGGAAAAAAAAGCTTTTTTCAGTAAACAGTATGATTTCAGGTTAACACATTTCCATTACAAATTTGACTTTCATTTCCTATTCATCTTTCACATTTGATAACTTATCTTAATCTTACTTTATATATTTTCTTTAATTTTAATCATTAAACTTTTCCCATCTTATTTTATAATTTTTCCAATAGATTGCTTAATCTATTTCTTTAACTCCTTAATACAGCATATATATCTTCATATTCATTATATTTTATCTTCTTATTCTGTCAGATCTGAAATTTACTCATCTATATTTAATTCATCATTACAAAAATTCACCCATTTCCAACATAAAAAAGGTAACAACAGCAAATGCAACACCCCTATTATTTCCAGTTTCAAGGTGCCATCCCTGTGGTTAAACATATCACATAATTAATCCTGCCTAAGATTCCCATGATTTAATTTTGAGTTAACACTTTAAAAAAAGGAAAAAAAAGACACAATAATAACTTTCTAATAGTTACTACATTACATATATCTCTTTTAAACCTGGGTCTGCAAGTTCCCTTTCTCATTACCTAAAATATATATATCTAGATTAATAAAATTATAGATAAAAAAGACATAATTAATCCCATCATTTCATAAGAACTATAATAATAATGTTAAATATTAATATTTAACATTACTCCTTTTCTGTTTACCACAACTTATTAATTCATTTAATATTATTAATATCTTTATTCTAGTTACCTCTCTTAATTTCATAACATAAAAAAGCAAACAGTCACTACAATAGTAAAACAATATCAGTCCCTACTTCCCATCTTAATACTCTATATTCCACTGTTTTCTAGACAAATTTTATCTTTTCTTATGTTATTGCTTAATAATTCGTTTAATACTATTAATCTTTATTTTGGTTATCCCTCTTAATTTCATATTTAAAAAAAACAATCACAGCAATAATAAAATAATATCAGTCTGTAGCTCCCCTTTTGATAATCTAGATTCCACTATTTTCTAGACACATTTCTTATTGCAAAAATTCTCCTGGTTTCTATGCTGTCCTCTTTTTCACTGCTACTCCTGCACAACCTTATTCCAGCTGACTCTTCCCCTTCAGGGTGGCCATTATAGACCACTGCTTCAGATGTCTTTGGGAGGGAATGCTTGCCAAGCCAGGGAGGGGATATGCAGCTCCTGTCTACCCGGCTGGCAGTCTCCCCTTCCTCCACCACCCATACAAGATGGCTTCTGCCCCAAATCTGGACGATTGGGGCTCTCTGATGAGGAAGCACAGACCAAAGCCATGGACAATCATGGTCAGTGATCCATTATCGGGGAAGTTCAATCGGAAGTTCCAATCTCCCTTTTTTCAATAGAAGATGTAACAAACTAAATGGACAGTTCTTTTTCCCATCTCCAATAATGGTTGTTTTGATCTTTAGATTATGAAAGGACATCCTCATGGGAATTTGGAACATTTATATGAAGGGCTTCCAAATTAACAAAAAATATTATATTAACATGGATTTATAAGTAGCATTTGACTTTGTATTTTTGGTTTAATGAAATGTGTTCATCCTCTGTCATAAGCTGCCTTTGGAATGATACAAGCTCAGTCTTTTCCAGTTTTGTATGTAATGATTTGTCCAGCTTTTCTTTCATTTATCCATGTATTTCATTAACTGATGCTGAACTACTCTTTGTTATCCTACAACTATCCAAAATGTCTGGACAGTTGTTGACATTATGCAAGGAAAAAAAAAATCTTTAGAGAGCTTGAGTTCTGGCAGAGCCAATCAACTTTCATTACTAAGTCACAGATGTTGGATTATGTCAATGAAAGTTTGATTTAAAGGAACTCTATTTAAAGACTTTCATAAATATTTATATCATACTTCACCCTTGAAAATAATAGACATCCATTAATTCTAAACCCTCTCTCTAGACAATTGATAAAATTCACTAATGTGATTATAATTACACACTTGGCATAAATTAGGTCAATTATGTAAATTTGGGCATTCTGGTTTTATGGATACCTTTTCTCCAGAAATGATCAATTAAATTGAAGTTTTACTACACTGCAAGTACGAGAGCAATAAAACTGTTGTATTAAATAATCTAATCAAACATACTTTGAAGAAATTTAAGACATGGAGCTGATGTGAAATTATTATGTAATTATTTATTGAGGATTTTATATTTAAATTTAATATTAGAGCTATGATACTTGAAATAATTGAAATAAATAATATTTTTTGTCTTTTTCATATTTCAGGTTTAGAAAGTTATATTTAACTATTATATTTTCAATTATATTTAAATATAGGGTATTACTATATAAATAAAATATTTAGCATGAGATTTCAGACAGTGGTACTATTTGCTAACCATTTAGGAACTTTCGTATTTGATATTGTCCAATTGAGGTGCAAATAAATTAAATCAATGAAACTGCAGGCAGACAATGGCAAATTTCACATTAAAATTGAAATGTATAATTCAAATGTGAATTTCTGGTAATTTCCCTCCATTTATTAATGCCTTTTTTCAGTTCTATTAAAAGCAAGCAAGCAGGGAAAACTAACCTATGGTCACACTATATGGCATTAAGTTATGCTCTGTATATCAGTCTTTCTCAAACTGATGTTCTGCAGATATCATGGGACAACTGATCTGGGAACTTCAAAGAGAGAAAAATTATTTCTTTTCCCCCATTATCCATAATGTCTGGGAATATAGGGAACTATCAATATTGTCTGGAGATGACTTACTTGAGGTAAGGCTGCAATATATTTGTACAAGATTATCTCACATGGCTCAAATTAAATAGGTAATGTGATGCTACATTTTCTCCTTATTTTCTGTACATTTTGTCACTCACAACAAAAGTATGAACTTCATTAGTGATACAAAGAACTCATCTTCCTATAAACTGTAATGTTTTAGATTCTGGCATTTACCTTATTGGGCCTGCAGCAGAATCTGGATCTCGTGCCATGACCGTGCCTATGATGGTGCCCACTTCAATATCTTCATGTATTTCAAAAAGATATGAAGATCTGCTAAATATAGGAGGTTCATCCACATCTTCCACAGATATTTTCACAGTAGTTGTATCTTTAAAAGGTCCAAGGTAATAAAAGCGTGGGTCAACATACAGATTCTCTGCCTCTATTTTCAAAGTATATAGCCTTCGATTCTCATAATCCAATGGCTGTATTAAAAATAAATGAATAAATAATACAGTTATTAACACAAAAAAACAAAATCTGCGAAAACTATACCAAGCACTGTTTCCATTCATTTAAGGCCAGTTGTGTGCTAGGTCCTGTAGATAAAGCAGAAACTATTGTAATTTCTTACATTTTCTTACTATACCTTTTTTATAAAGTAGACCTTTTATATTCAAAGTTATATTATGCAGTCTGTAAACCAGGATTTTTAATAATGGAGCCAATGCATCTTATCTCAAGTCAGGAAAGAATAATTTGCAGAAAAGAAGTATCAATATATAGTTACATAGCTTCAAAGTAGATGAACAAATTACACCAAAACTGGTTTCATTCTCCAAAGTATAATGAATGTGCCTTTAAATAAAGGAAAAGTTCAGACTGTCTTTAGGTGACACTTCCCTAACCCTACCCCCAGATCTTAGATAAAATGAATTTTATAATAGTTTTATTTTTAAAATATAAAATACTTATGTGCAATTAATCCCTTTTCAAAAATGAAAAGATAATAAAGCTTGGGGTTAGAATTTATATGCTGCATGAAAGTCTATGTGTGTAAATGTCTATGTGTTTGGTATTCAGCTTTGTTCAGGTATTTTCCCACGTCATTACAGTTGTGCTTTTAAAGTTGTAGAGACGTTTAGGCAGAATCTCATCTGCCATCATCAGGCTTCTGTATTGTGTTCATCTGTGAATCAGGCTTTTACAGCCATTTCTGTTTTAAATTTGGTGCTAGCCTACTGCTGTGTTAGAATGTTTTTTTTTTCTTCATCCTGATTGGTTGGGAGTCTTGGTCTGTGTTTATTGGTCTTGGAGTTTGCTGTGTTCTGCTTGGAGTTTGCTGTGTTTCTAATATCTTCTATCTGTTTTGTAGCAATTTTTGTCTTGATTGACTGGCAACATTGTGTTTTCTGTATTGGAGGCTTTTAGTGCAGCTTGGCTTCAAGTAAACAGATGGCTATCATTTATTAGGAAGCTAGGTTTCATCTGTATGCCTGGTTGGGGTGTGTTTGAGCTGGAGGTGTCGGGGGGGTCTGTTTGTGCCCAGGTGTCTATGTGTTTGTGTGTGTGTGTGTGTGTGTGTGTGTGTATGTATGTGCATATATATGTATATATATATGTATATATATATATTACAGAAAAAAATTCTATTTTAAGATTTCATTTTAACTTTTAAGGAGTGAAAAAGCTATGAGAAAGTATAGTCAAAAAATGAACACAAAATATCTTTGGAGAATACCTTTGGAGAATCTATTTAAACATAAATAAAACACAAAAGAAGCAACACTGTGCTTAAATCTTCTAATTTACTCAGAAGTCATCTTATATTAGAAATAAATATTGCTTTTTTTATATTATCTTGAGACTCTCCTCCTTTCCATTTTAATGTAATTTTTTAGGACACTTTTATCCTGAATTGTAATTAATATATCACAAATGAGGTTTTAGAATTGCGTAGAGTTACACACTGCAGAGCAATAATGTAAATTCCAGGCATTGAATGGAAGCCACCAAAGAAGACATCTGATTGGATGCCAAAAAAGTAATCCAATATAATTCCAGTTGACTTGTTTGAAATACTTGGCTTTGAACAAACAACCGGCATATGTTCTTTAAGAAGACAGATTATTTCCCTCAATGTTTTGCATTTGATGTTACAGCTGGCTACTAAGCTAAGATTTTAATGTATGCTGGTGTGTATTAACTAGTAATTAATTTATGTCCTTCTCTGAAGACTTTATAGAAGATGCAAAAATCAAGTTCTTCTGAACAACATTTGTGACATTGTCATCACTGTTATTTGGTCAATACATCATTGCCAGATTAAAAGAATACTGGCATCATTTTGGGGGGGGGGTAGGAAGACGCGGGCCACATTTTATTTATATTACCTTCGTAGGGATCAATCTATGATGGTAATGGATAAATATTTAGAAAATGTTGGATTCCTTCTTGTGATCATTTATGCCATGGCTAACTCATGAATGGACTGCTGAGATGCTTCTACATGAGGATCATCCCCAAGCCACAGCTGGCACAAAATGCAGTGGGGCAAGCAATAATGGGCACTTCACAGTATCCTCTGTTGCTAGTTGAGTGGCACTGGTGCTCAGGATGCTTCCATGTACTATTCAAATCTATCTCTAATTGTTTTGGCCTACCAGGTAGGTTTGGGTGAGTGAGAGAGTTCCACTCCCTTCAATTGAATGCTGCATCTTACAGGAATCAGGAAGAGTGCCTTTTCTTTCATGGCCCCACCCTCTGGAACAGCATCTCCCCAAATATTTGGAGGGTACCCAGTCTTCTGGGATTCTGGAAAACCTTTAAAATCTGGCTCTGGAAAGCCTTTAAAATCTGTTCACAAAGCTGGGTGATTTATTGGATGAGTTGTATTATTGGTACTATTTGTTGTTTTAATTGTTTTATTCTGGGCAGCCTATTTTGGTGTCTTTGTTTTTTATGGATTCCAAATTAATTTGAATTGAATAATTAAATTAAAGTATTATAAACTGAGGGTATATAATATCAATGCTGTATATTTTTATATACCAAATATATTAGTAGAATTTCAAAACACCCATCCAAAGTTATTGCTGTTTCAAAACAAGGCAATCTTTTAAAAACAACAACAACACCTTTTTGCATGTTATTGTATAGTTGATAATTCTGATGAAATCATATGCTACCAGGAAGATTTCCCCAAAATATCCCAATAAATTCATCAACTACTGTACTTTTTAGAATGTATACAACTTAAATATTTGGATATGTTAGAAAATACTGAATGGTTAGTAGTTCCAAGCATACAATGCATCATATTGAAAAATATGCACCTTTCGTACTGTTATAATGCCCTCCTGTGTGTCCTTTTGTGTTACAATATCAAACATGTCTCTTCCGTCACCATCAATAATTCGGTATTCAAGTTCTGCATTTCTCCCAGTGTCTGCATCAGAGGCTTTAATGCTTCCAATGGCAGTGCCAACTGGAGAAGATTCTGGGATGCGTAGGTGGACTGAACCTGCAAAAAAGAATAATCAGCAATATGTAAAAAAAACCAAAAACGATGAAGACCCTGGTATGATAGGGTCATTTCTTGACCAAGAAACATATGCATTGTTTTTAAATGAATGAGGCAAAGGAAAGTTATAGATTTAAATCCAAGGTTTCTGCTTAACTATAGAGTCACTGCTTTCAAATGAACTCTTCCAAAAGCAAACTTGCCCTTGGCTGGCTAAATATAGTCTGCTAATCCTATTGAAAAGTTTAAAATCTTGTTTTCCCAGCATTTCAAATTGTGTTATGATGAAACATTATTCTGTAGATTCATTCCCTCCCACCATCAATCACTGCATTGTTCAACAACCTTAAAAAGAAAAGGAAATTTCCAAGGAAGGCCTATGGGGCTGATTGAAAGACTCTTAGTGCCTACCTTACTTATGCAGCAATCAAGAAACACCATTCTGTCTCTCCCAATCTTTTACTGTCTAATTGATCAGAAGCTTATAACAGCCTCATTTGTGCTTACCTGCAGGCTACTATAGCTGGTGACTACTATGGATCTATAACAGTTGGCAAATAAGAAGGCCAATGCACACTGTCTTAGCTACATGGAGTGAGTTTGAAAAATCAGAGGTTACTGCCACTTGAAAGAAAATACCAAAAAATCTACTGATCCATAATAACTGAGTCTTCCAGATAGAGCCAAATCCTTCTTTTGAAAAGTTAAAAAGTGGAAACAAGTTTTCTGCCTATACAAGAGCACCATTTTTTGGTTCAGGAAGAACGGGGAGGATGCAATATGATTGGGGAGTTGTGTAAGAGCAGAAATAAAAAGTAACAAAGTACAGCGTCTTTGAGTATTTTGCAATAATAAGATTAACCTCCTAAAAAAATCACCCATGAAATTCCAAAACAGTGATAAAAGGAAACGTATTTTATGAGAAAGAAACTGGAGAACATATTTTCGCACACCATTAGATTATCATCAAGTACCTAAGTGGCCACAATGCAACACTGCTTGGCAGGTCAAAGGAAGTGAAGAAATAAAGAAGGTTTTTACAGTTAATGCTAAGTGCAATTTCACTAAGCGGTATTTTAAGTATAAACTCAAGTGAATACTAATAATCATTTACAAATAAATAAGTAAAATACGAAAGAGAAAGTAAAGTAGAAATACAATGCAGTATATTTAGAGGAGATTGTATATATGCAAATAGATAATGGTAGAATTCTTAAGGTTCACTATGAAGGTTGTTTGGTGCAACCACCTTGTAAGAGATTGCAATTTTAGCTGTGCTCATTTTAAGTTTGCAAAAGGATAAATAAACTTCACTATTTATTCCCAAGTTGTGTTTGGGTGTCTGTGTATTGTAATTATGAAAATAAGCAACACCCCATTCAGTTTTGAGTAACCATAATTCAAGTGGGCCTTAGTTTCCACTTCAATAAGTCATTTCTGAAATAGGAGCAAACCATCTGTAGTGTATTCATGCACAGACTTCTAATACCACATTCCTATTGGTTAGTTAACATAGCTTAATGATTGGTTAATAAAGAGAGTTTCTGATTGACTGCCTAAGCAGCAGGAAGTTTAAATACATGCCATTGGTTGTGAGCCACGAGCAGCCGCTATAAAAAGGGCTGCCGCAGCTCGATTTTAGTTGAAGTTACTGGTTGCTAATAAAGAGCTGAATTCAACTCCGGTTTCCGAGTCTGCTTTGTCCTGGCGATAGAACACTGGTGACAAGGGTGGGATTGAAGGAACAAAGATTGTAAGCACGTGGCGAAGACAACCGAAAGACCAACGAGATGGCTGACAACAATTCACCACCCTCACCGTTCAACCCAGCCGAAGAAGACTGGGAGTCATATATCGACAGGTTCCTGATGTTTTTAGAAAGCAACGAACTGCAAGGAATCACTGACCACAAGCCACTGTTAGGGATTCTGGCTGGAGACAGGGCCACCCCCAACATCCTATCTCCAAGGATGACAAGATGGTCAGAAATTCTCGCAGCCTACAATTACAAGCTCATTTATCGACCAGGAAAAGCCATACCCCACACAGACGCATTAAGCCGTTCACCACTGCCAGGTCACAATGACGACCCGGCTCCCACCATGCATACCCTGCAAATTGAAACGATTCCAAATTGGCCCATCACCGCATCAGACATCGCAAGAGAAACAGCTAAAGATGCACTGATGGCCTGAATACTGAACTGGGTAGGACGGGACTGTCCGGAAAACAAAAAACCCGAGATTTTAAACCTTTTAAAAACCGGCAAACTGAATTGTCAATTGAAAAAGGTTGCATATTGTGGGGAGATCGGGTGGTTGTTACAAAAAAATTACAAGAAGACATGCTTAACATGTTGCATGAAGGACACCCGGGCATGGTAAAGATGAAGTCCCTGGCCAGAAGCTACGTTTGGTGGCCAGGAATAGATAAAGACATTGAAACCTGGGTCAAAACATGTAACAAATGCCAGTCATCCAGACCCACTCCCCCATTGGCACCGGTCCTTGACTGGGAGACACCCAGAGGCCCCTGGTCAAGGATCCACATGGACTTTGCCAGACCCACAAAGGGATATACTTATCTAATCATTCTGGATGCCTACTCCAACTGGTTAGAAGTCATCATCGTGAGCTCAACAACAATGGAAGCTGTAACCAAAAAACTAAAGAAACTTTTCACCAGCCACGGTCTACCAGATGTAGTAGTATCGGACAATGGACCACAGTTTACAGCTTTGGCTTTTGAACAATTCCTTGCAGAACAAGGAATAAGACATGCTTTGACAGCGCCAGCTCATCTGATGGCGAACGGAAGAGCGGAACGCATGGTTCATTACACAAAAGAAGCATTAGAAAAGCTGGAAGGAAATGACATGCAAGAAAAAATCAACACCATGCTCACCATACAACACATAACACCATGCACGGCTACAAACAAGAGCCCAACTGAACTGTTAATGGGAAGGAAGTTACGCTCCTACCTGGACAGACTACATCCTACTTACAACCCCAAAAAGCTGCCAGACTCTTCCAGTAAGTACCGCTCCTTTTTGCCAGGCGACCTAGTATATGCAAAAAATCTTACCGGAGAACCACTGTGGTTACTGGCAATGATCACACCGACTAGAAACAGCTGATGGCAGATCATGGAAAAGACACATCGATCAACTAAGGTCACAACACGTCAAATGCAACACCGACATTCCCCGAAACATGGAACAAACTCTTCCACAAGCAATACCAGAAAGTAATAAAAAAACCAGGGAGGGGACCTTTAAATAATAAAGGAAATGAAAAACCCCCAGAAGCCAAAAACCCAGAAAAAAATAAACATTACTTACAATTAGATGATTCCAAAAAGGGAGAGCTGAAGGAGCACCAGGAAAGAAGCAGCCAAGCTGACTCTACCTGCCCGCACAAAATGCAGAGGAACAACAGAGACAATCCAGTCAACCCTACAAGGCACGGCGGGAGCGGCATGGCTGAGGCACCAGTCCAGGAGGTTCCAAGGAGAAGAGTGGGGAGGACAGCAGGCCTGTCTGAACCGGCGGAGACTAACACAGAGACTGAACTGCGCAGGTCAACAAGGACTCACAAAAGCCCCGCCTACTTGCGCAACTATGTCATGTAACATTGAAGCAAACCAAGAGGGGAGGGGTGTAGTGTATTCATGCACAGACTTCTAATACCACATTCCTATTGGTTAGTTAACATAGCTTAACGATTGGTTAATAAAGAGAGTTTCCAATTGGCTGCCTAAGCGGTGGGAAGTTTAAATACATGCCATTAGTTGCGAGCTGCGAGCAGCCACTATAAAAAGGGCTGCTGTGGCTCGAGTTTAGTTGAAGTTACTGGTTGCTAATAAAGAGCTGAATTCAACTCCGGTTTCCGAGTCTGCTTTGTCCTGGCAATAGAACACCATCTACCACTACCAATTGCAATAACCCATTCTGGCACTTATTTATGGAGATTCCCAGTAATGGTTGTCCCAAAGATGCTTTTTTCAAGAGGCAACTGGACTCTCTGGTTTTTCTTTGAAGATGTTTTGCTTCTTCTCCTGAAGAAGCATTTTGGATGAGAAGTGAAACGTCTTCAAAGAAAAAGCAGAAAGTTTGGTTGCCTCTTGAAAAAAAGCACCTTGGGACTATTCTGGAACTTAAGTTCAATCTTCATAAACTTCAGCTGAAATGAAAAATAAGTAAAATATAAAAATCAAATTCAAGTATTTCAATCATTTTGCAATTTCCATCAATTTTTGCAGGAGGTGATTTGATCTAGATTTTGTGAGTCTCTTTTCCAACATCCCCATGGTTCCTTGAAGTACTTAAGCGCTTGCAGTAAGAAGGTGAGGTGAAGAAGGATTCCAATCCCTGATACTGAAAACTTGCTTTAAAAAAACATCACTGCAAGAGTTTGTAGGAATTCAAGGAAATTAATAGGGTCTGCAGAATAATAAAATATTGCTCTTGGGCATTTCTCTTTCATTACAGCACAATTTGTACTGGACTTGTTTTTGATGGAGTCATGCCTCAATTTGCACTATTTAATGGTTTCTCTTGTGTAGCATGTGTTGTGCAAAAAAAAAAAAAAGAGGCAAAGTTTCTTTGGGCTTCTGTCTCTCCTGGCACAGGCAAACCAAACAGTAAAATCTCCATCTGTATTTCTTGTAGTAATAGCCTGCAGTGAGTGTAAATCTGGTGAAAATGTTTATTTTGAAAAAGGAAAACCGTTCTTCTGGTAGAAGCCAATTTGCTGAAAATCTATGTATTCCAGTAATGTTTAGTTTCCAGGCAAGACATGAACAAGAAAGGGTTTTGTTGTTATTATTGTTTAAAAAAATAGTTCAGCTTCTTAAAAGAAATTTGTAAGGTACTGAGGCTGGGTCATAACATGAACAGAAATACAGAGAGAGAACTCTGTGTGTGTGTGTGTGTGTGAGCGAGAGAGAGAGAGAGAGAGAGAAAGAGAGAGAGAGAAAAAAAATTTCTAACACCCCCT